TGAGGATGAAATAAGAGAAAAATACTCCGAGCTAGTACAAGAGTGAGACTTTCGAGGACGAAAGTTCTTTTTAGGGGTAGATAATGTAACGACCCGAAAAAAAAATAATAGTAAGTAAATAATAATTAAAAAAAAAAAAAAAGTAAAGTATCGACTCTCTCTCCACCTTCCCCAAATATCTCCCCCACACCTCCAACTGTAAAATGATCTGCAAAAGAAAGAAACAGAACCAAAACAAAAAAATGGCCCATATTGGGAAGGAATGGTTCACTCTAAGCAGATTTGATAGGAAGGGGAAGAGATAGAAAATTTATGGGTAATGATACGATAAGGAATCAACTACAAGGGGAATAAGATTCGGATTACCTTGTAGATCAAATATCTCAAGCCAAGAACACTTTGTTTGAGATTCGAATCACTCCAGAAGCAAGATCGATCATGTCTAGCTTCAATGATTCTTGTTGATCAAATATCTCAAACACTTGTTTGAGATTCGAATCACTCCACAAGCAAGATTGATCATGTCGAGCTTGAATGATTCTACATGCAATCTAAACTACATAGAATTGCAAACAAACTCAGCCATTGGCTAAGAAAAAGCACAAATGCTTCTTTTACTATATTTTCCAAGTCTGCTTACAAATATAACATACATGGCTTTATATAGCCTCAAAATGAAACTATTAAAGACATTCCAAAAGTTGTAACATTCACACTTTATGGCCATAATTAGCCATTATGTAAATGTAACCGAAATTAAATAAAAAGTCTTAAAATACAATAACTCTAAATTACTCTAAATTATAACTCACCCAAAATTTACAACAATCAAACTTTATTCTTCTTCAATGTAGCATGAATTGAAACATCTTTTGATAATTTTGACAACCTTTTCTTCACATCTTCATTGAAGCATATTGTATGATTGATGTCTCTTGGTTCATATCAGGTAAGTTAGATCTCTTTCTTTTATTTTTGCCGGAGATAGAAAAATTATTATAGATCTCTCTTTTTTTCAATTATTTAGATATTTGGATCTAAAATCAAAATTGATTGAAAAATGGTTTTGTCAATGGCCTAAATAGAGAAGAAAATCATAATTGATTGATGCATAGGCAATTTTATGAAGGAAAATTAGAATGAATTGTAAATGACTTAGTTGATTGGATAGTCATTTGGGAAAGAGAAGAAAACAGAATAGATTGAAAATGTCTTCTGTTAATGATAGTAGTGTTTAGGAAAGGGAAGAAAAGATTAGGAAAGAGAGAACATAATTGATTGAAATTGTTTTATAATTGCATAATCATTTGTAGGAAGAAAAAAAAATACAGAGAGAAGAGAACAAAGCTGTACAACAGAAGAGAAGGAAAATGGAAGATGTGAAAAATTATTATTGTCTGTATCCAGAGAATATAATATTATAACAAACCATAGTTGGATTGAATGATTCAAAGCAGCATGAAATAATATTGACATATTTTCAATTTGAGTTTTAGAAAATTTAGAAATAATGAAAACTTGAAATTCGATTTTTACTGAGACCGTTTTAGAGCCGTATTTCACATTGTTAGTTGGATTATTAATTAAAATGTGAAATACTAACAAAAGGTGACGAACGGTGGGATATGAAGCGAACTCCAGCAACCTTTGGAGCAGCTCTCGAGGAACGGGAGCTTACGCTAATTAAATTAGGGAATACTTCGGCTAAGGCCAACCAGGTAAGTGGTCTTACTATAGGATAGGCTAAAAATTGTATGAGTTACGATGATGTATGAACTATGTCGTATGATTCGGTATATGAGTTATGATGATGTATGAGTTATGATGATGTGTGAGTTACGATACTTGATGATGTGCTCAGTATATATATATATATATATATATTTTGATGAATGTCGTACTTGATATGTTTGATGCACTTTGTGGCAATATGATGAGTATAATGATTGTGTGACGTTTACCTTAATATGATGATGTTTTCCATATTGAGCATGCTATATGATGATGAGTGCCATATTGCATCCTGTCATTAGATCGACATAGGACACAACCCTAAGAGCGTGAAAATGATATTAATATAAATATCCACGAGTATGTGTTACCTAGAGTAACAAAGAGATGAGACTAGAGGGTTGTGTTAGAAGAGACATTATGATGGATTTAGAGGGACCTCATGCATATTGTATGTTCATAAGTATAGGGCTACTTCCCCTAGAGATGATGAGTGCGGACGCGCACCGTATGATGAGCACGAATGCGCACAGGTGCGAACGCACACAGATGAGGGTGTTCATGAGGCGCATGACACTATAGGGTTCCGCTGACCTCTGAACGTCGCCACAGATTAGCTTGACCAGAGGGTCCAGGGAGTGTGCGAGCGTCCTGAGGATTCACACTCGCACGTGTGAGTCGTGTGTAGGGAAGTACTACACATCCAATTTGTCCGAAACTGGAGGCCACTCCTAAGATGATCAGAGATAGGTCCCTAAATCATGATTGCATGTGTTTGCATTTGCATGGCCCCTATAGTGGGGTCACTTACTAAGTATTCTTTGAAATACTCAGGCCGTGTGTCACATCATTTTTCAGGTAAAGGCAAGGCGCACTTGTACGGAGGACGGCGGCATCGCAAGCAGAGACTGTGGCACGTGCATAGGGTAGATTCATATTTAAATTTATAGTCTTAAGTTAGAATAGATTGTTTTGCATTTCATTGTTTTAAATTATTTTGTATTTGTTTTTGTTTTCTCTAAATTTCAGTATCTCATATTTAAACACGTAAGACCATGGCTGTGTTTTCCAGAGAAGAAGTTGTTTTAAACGTTTTTTTTTTTAGTTTACGTTATCAATTATGTTCATGTAAGAGTTATATTTCCACATTATAGATGAGAATGAGACGTTAGTAGCGACTCTGAGTATGTGGAAATTTAGGGTCGTTACAGGTTCACCTACGCCTCTACATACATAAGTCCTCTTTCAACTTGCTCTTTTGACTCGACTACGATTTTACGGAGCACCAATAGAAACTTTAGGGCCCCCATACAGGGTTGTTGCTGTTCTCGGATGATGTTGTCCCCACTTCAACTGGCTCGAGACTGGGTTCAGTTCCTGTGTCCAATGTCGTCTGGAATGCTCGGAAGGCTGCTTTATTAGGACAATCGAATACTTTGTGGGGTCCCCTACATATGAAACAGGTCAAAGTGGCTAAATTATATTGGTTATAATAGGGTCCTCTCCACGAGTTCCCATGTCTTTGTTGAGAGGATCTATATTCTCCACGAGCTAGCGTCCCAATTCTCTCACCTACCATATTTGTAGGAGAATTAGATGGGTTATTCATAATGCTTCCACTTGAGGAAGACATTTGGCCTTACATATTGAGACGGATCAGTGCTCAAGTCACTACAGCAGGGTAGGCTTAGGAAAGATCATGAATTCTGCTCACCTGAACTTTTCCGACGGCTTCAGTCCCTCAACAGAGTAAATATTTTAACTTTCACTACAACTTTGCATCTTCAGCTAAGTGCATCGTTGCTCACGTGATCTTGTGATATGAACCAAGAGACATCAATCATACAATATACTTCAATGAAGATGTGAAGAAAATGTTGACAAAATTATCAAAAGATGTTGCAATTCATGCAAGATTGAAGAGGAATGAAGTTTGATAGTTATAAATTTTTGGTGGGTTACAATTTAGAGTTGTTGTATTTCATTATTGTATTTTAAGACTTTTAATTTACTTTAGGTTACAATTACATAATGGTTAATTATGACCATTAAGTATGAATGTTACAACTCTTAGAATGTCTTTAGTAGTTTGCCATGTATGTTGTATTTGTAAGCAGACTTAGAAAATATAGTAAAAGAAGCATTTATGCTCTTCTTTAGCCAATGGCTAAGTTTCTTTGCAATTCTATATAGTTTAGGTTGCATGTAGAATCATTCAAGCTCGACATGATCAATCTTGCTTGTGAAGTGATTCGAATCTCAATCAAGTGTTCTTGCCTTGAGATATTCGATCAACAAGGTAATCCGAATCTTATTCCCCTTGTATTGATTCCTTATCTTATCATCTTGGCTTCTTTCATCACGGTGTTTGTAGCTCAAATGTATTGTTTGAGTTCAAAGATAAATTTTTTTTTGGAGTTTGGCATCTCAAGCCCCACAGAAGGGTTTGAGTTCAACCAGGCGTTCATGTCGACCATTTCAGCCCTAACTATATCAAGTGCTGCTTTGATATCTTCAGAGAGTTCTATGACCATCTGGACGATGACTTTTTGAGAGATATTTATGTCTTCGACATGCTCCTCAATTTGAGGGCAAAGCCCGTTGAGCTATCTCCACGCTTGAGACCACAGTTTTTGTGGCTTTCTCTTCTAGATTTTTCACTATATACATCAATTATTGGATGAGCTCATCCAAACGACCAGCTACTATGTCAATCGCATTGGTCTTAATGGCTAGTTGTTTTACACCCTCGTCCAAGTATCGAATATTGTCAAGGACTTCCCGCAAGCATTGGATATGCTCCTCGATGTAGACCAATCGGTCGACGTGGGGCTTTTTCAATTACTTTATCGTGGACATGTTTTCCGAGAAGTTTCCTAAAGCTGAACTCGACTCTGATACCAATTGTCACAATTGCAATTTTTCAAGACATTTTATAAGTGATTGTGTGACGCTCACTCCCACTACCGAGTGAATCAACTAATTCAAATTTGCTTCGCCGTACCTAAACTAGCCCATCGAGATTTTGGAAATAAAATAAGCAACGTGGAGGGTTTTGTGTTTACGTTAATTATAGTTTGAGCGTTTAATTTTTTGTACAACTCAGACCTCCAACATTTTCGTCCATAAAAACTAATCCTCAAGAAATGAACCGAAAGGAAATTAAACCAGCAAGCCCCCAGGATACCCGGTTTGGATCGCCTATGGACCGAGCCGAACCGTTACCCTCTCACGTTAACCCCATTAAATGTCGGCCCAATTCCAAGTCCAATTTTAAAACCCTAACCCTAAAATCCTTACACTTCCTCACAATCATCCGTCGGGACGAACAAACGTCGACCTCCGGCTCAATCCCTTCAACCATCTGCTTCTTTCTTTGAATTTCAGCGAAAATGCGACCAATTTTGATGAAAGGCCATGAACGGCCATTGACTTTCCTTAAATACAACCGGGATGGCGATCTCCTTTTCTCATGCGCCAAGGATCACAATCCCACCGTCTGGTTCGCCGACAACGGCGAGCGATTGGGGACTTATCGTGGTCATAATGGTGCCGTTTGGTGCTGCGATGTCTCTAGTATGCTTCACCTTCTTCTTCTTATTTTTTTTTTACTTCATGTTCGTTCGGATTGGGTAATTGAGGAATCTGAGACAGCTTTTCATACGATGCTGCTTAAATTTCAGGAGATTCAATGCGGCTCATCACCGGCAGTGCGGATCAGACGGCGAAACTGTGGAATGTGCAAACTGGACAACAACTATTCTCTTTCAATTTTGACTCACCTGCTAGGGCGGTTGATTTCTCTGTCGGCGATAAGCTTGCTGTGATTACCACCGATCCTTTCATGGAATTGCCCTCTGCTATTCACGTTAAACGCATTGCCAGAAACCCCTCGGAACGTAAGATATGGTTCTCCTTTCATTTATTTTTGTTATTATTTTTTTTTTTAAATCTCTATGATTTTTCTAAGCGTCTCAATTAGGTTCTTATGAACCATCATTGTTCGTTGTTCCATTCAATTCCAGGTGTCTTTGTCTTTCTCTTTAGGGATTAGTTATAATACTAGGCATGTGATGCAGTTGCACTATTTTGAAATATCAATCATGTACTTGAGTTGTATGCATGCCATGAGGAATTTGGTGGCGTTCTTCACGCTTATTCCTTATTTCAGTATCCTTCTTTTTAGGAAGCTCGATGCAGCTAAATGAAAACTATTTTACTGCAAGTAACAGGACTTCCTTTTTAACCATTCAAAAGTTTTCAACGTGTATTTTACTCGCAATAAATTTCAAGTAGGTTCGAGGAAAGAAGAAACTTAGGGTTTAAGAGTAGATGATACATTAAGATTACTGCACGATTTGTTTGTGCTTAATTAATGTTGGTGCTTGTTTTCCCTTATGACAAGTAATTGGCTTAGGTGGTTTTATGCAAGCTTTGAAAGAAATGTTTCATTTATGCGGTTATGAGTGAGACTGTGAGACTTATGTGTGCCTGATCCCAAAATATAAAAAGCTTGCCAAGTTAAAGACTTCAGGCCCATAAGTCTTGTGACTAGTTTATATAAGATCGTTCGTTCATTTTGTTGTGGACGCCTTTCATGACTGTGAGATTTATAAGTCCTTTGCCCCCGTTCATTTTTGTGCTGGACGTCCTCAGCCAGTTAGGTCGGCTGAAGTGGAGAAGTGTGTGGTGGAGGGTGTTAAGGTGGGATTGGATAACCTGCACTTGATACACCTTCAGCTCACTGATGACACCCTCTTCATTTGTTTGGTGGATAATTCCTTGAGGAATCTATATGGATTTTTTTGAACCTTGAGCCATTTCAATGTAAAATAATTCATTCGAAAAGTTCCATCTTTGATGTAAATTATGAGATATCTAAGTTGACATTTTAGGCGACTATGGTGAGGTATGAAGTGAGTCAACTTCCTTGTTCTTACCTTGGTTTTCTCTTGTGGCGTAACTTGAGATTGGTGTATTTTTGGAACTCAGTGGTGTAGAAGATTTAGAAATGCATTTCGCTGTGGAAAAAAAGGCCTTTTATTTTATTTTATTTTTTTTATTCTCTCTAAAGGGGGGTTGATGTTGATTGACTCTAATGTTGAGTGGGATTCCATTTACTCTCTTTTCATTATTAGTTTGCCTGCCTCAGTTGGTAAGAACATCAAAAGATTATAGAGAAATATCTTGTGAGATGGTGTGGAGGAGGGTAGTGGGGTTTCACTTAATGAGCTTCATTTGGCAAAATGGTTTTGGCATTTATTTCAGGTGTCGAGTGTCCTATCTTATGGTAGAGGGTTTTTGTGATCTAGTATGGTGCTCTCTCAAAGCGTGGATTTTAGGTAGTAGGTTGAAGTGTTCTTGCAAAAACCTCTTGTATTCCATTGCTTTGGGTTTTCCTCTATTCTCTTAATCTGTTAAATTTTCTATTGGGGATGGATTGCATTTATTTCAGATGCCTTGTTTCCTCATCTTTATCATTTATCTGATAAAAGGTTGCATTCAGTATCCTTGTTTTGCTCTCTTTTGTTGGTGTCTCGTTGCATTCTTTGGGTATTTTCCAACCCTTCACTGATTGAGAGGCAATTGAAGCTGTCAGTCTCCTATCTATTACCTTTGATCAAGTGACTCATCATGGGAGAGGAGATTCTAGGGTGGGAGCTCTAAAGCCTTCTGAGGGTTTCTCTTGTTATTTTTCAATTTTTTTTCTATATTCTTTGTGTCATATCTCCTTCCCAAATGGCCTCTGCTTTCTCCTCTCTGGAAGGTCAAAATTTCTAAGAAAGTGAAAATTTTCAACTGACATGTTTTGCATGAATGGAGGGGACACTTACTACTTAGAAAAGCTTTCTTCTTTTGTGTTGCACCCACAATGGTTTGTTCTTTGCTAGAGGTTGGACGAGGACCTCAATCATGTTTTATGGGATTGTCCCTTTCTTTGCTTCTTTGGGGTCAGTTATTTAGTAGGACCCTTGAGGTGGTTCTAGTCGTAACATGGGATCTTGTTCTATGTTTGAGGAAGTTTTCTTGAGTTCTTTTCACCATAAAGGAAGATTTTTGTGGCAGACTTGCTTTTTTTGTTACTTTTTGGGGAATCTGGCTTGAGAGGAACAATGGAATCTTTGGATGGGCTGTGAGGTTTGTTGGGGAGCTTTGGGAGGCAATTAGGTTTAACTTGTCTTTGTGGTTGGCCGTTGGTTGGACTTATTTTTTTTGCTTGACATTGTTCTTTTGGATTGTAATCAATTAGTTTTGGGTGGGTTTTGGTAGTGGGCTTGTCTTTTTTTTATTTTTTCTTTTTGTATGGCTTTGTATTTTCTTTCAATTTTCTCAAAGGAAGTTTGGTTTCTTATATATAAAAAAAGGAAATCTTTCCAGTGGACAATGTTCTATTAATTAAGTTTGATTAAAATGGATATTTTATTTTTGGCTCTAGAAGAATAATATATGCTTATTAAAGTGTTTCTGATATGCCGCAGAGACTGGTGAATCTGTGCTTCTTCTGAAGGGTCCTCAGGGAAGAATCAACAGAGCTGTTTGGGGGCCTCTAAATAAAACCATTATAAGTGCAGGAGAAGATGCTGTTATTCGCATTTGGGATTCTGAGGTAATGATTGTGATACAATTTAGGGTGTCTTGTGTCAAGGCAATGTTCATACATCATCATTTTTCTGTCTCACATGAATAAAGCAGACATTGCATTTTATAAGCAACTTATATTTAGATGACTATGGTTGATGCACGAGTTGATAGAATGAGGGCTAAAAAGTCAGACATGAATAAAACAGACATTGCATTTTTTATAAGCAACTTATATTTAGATAACTATAGTTGATGCATGAAGTTGATAAAATGAGGGCTAAAAAGTCTGGCACTTTGATCTAAAGGGGGGAGTACATTGTTACTAGACATAAAAGGTTTGATATTTAGACGATCTCTTTGGAATGTTTTTTAAGCATATTTTCTTAACATTCATAATAGTATTGAAGAAATCAAACCCTCTGCTGAAAATATTGAACCAGGAAGAATTATACAACATTTTCCTAAAAATTGTCCCTAGGGACCCTTTTTTAGATGAAAAATGATATGACATTAAAAAGAAAGGGAAAAAAAAGACTCAAGCAAGACTTATCTATGAAGACACTTCGATTCCTTTCCAACCAAATGTTCCATAATCACCTTCTCCCATATGATCGACAACTCAACAAGACATCTCCCCTTTAAATGCCTTCGAAAGAGGCTTTCGAGATGTCATCAAGCCCCATCTCCAATACCTAATTTTGAAGAATGTAATTTTACGTTAACAAAAATGTAAATCATTCTGGTTTGATGAAGATGAAAACACTAGCTTCTTCTATAGTATGGTTGATAGACATGGAAGAAAACTCTTATATTATGATCGTCAATTTAAGTGTCACTAGCCTTGCCAGTGGCTATTGAGTTAAATTGAAAAGAAATTGCTTCTCTTCTCCAAAGATCCTTATTATGAAAACGAAGGGTTAGATTCATTCCTTCTAACCCCGATCTTTACTGTTCTCAAATATTTACCCTAGAAGCTATTTTGATTGGGACTTTACTTCTCACTCCTTTCTAATTAGCTTATAGTGATTCTCTTGGGAAGAAAATTCTCTTTTGCATAAATCCATTGTTCTAATGTATGATATTGCTCTTCCATGAGAAATGCATTATTTATTTTTTTTATCTTTCTTGGCTAATCTGACTTGTTTCTCACTAAATATTTAATTGAACTACAGACAGGTAAACTTTTAAAAGAATCAGACAAGGAGACGGGCCATAAGAAAACAATAACTTCCCTTACAAAATCCTCTGATGGTTCGCATTTTGTAACTGGTTCTTTGGACAAGTCTGCTAGGGTACCGTACATCTCTCCAATTCTTCTTCCTCCCCTCTTTTATTTTTAATATCTGACTGATTGACTAATATGCATTTTTTTGTTTCTTTTTAATTTTAATCCAGCTGTGGGATACTAGAACGTTGACACTTATCAAGACGTATGTGACAGAACGCCCAGTCAATGCTGTTACAATGTCTCCCCTTCTTGATCACGTATGTATTTTGAATTGCCAAATGTAACACTGACAGTTCTGTTTGAGGCTGATAATCTGTTTTATTTGACTGTTTGGTTGAGGTGATGTTTTAAATGTCTGTCTTTCGGCTCAAATTGGTTTCTTTTTTTGTTGGGTTTCAGGTGGTGCTTGGTGGTGGTCAGGATGCTTCAGCAGTGACAACAACCGATCATCGTGCAGGGAAGTTTGAAGCTAAATTCTATGATAAGGTGGGATCTTGTGTCTCACTTTCCTTTTGACCTTATAGAATTAGAGTTAGTTGGGTTGAAGTGTGTTATATTTCTCTTTTTGTGTGATAGATACTTCAAGAAGAGATCGGAGGTGTGAAAGGGCATTTTGGACCCATTAATGCTCTGGCTTTCAATCCTGATGGGAAGAGGTATGTATGCCGTAGTAGTATTGGTTGGTATTTGAAATGCTTATCATATTCATGGGCTTTGGTTTTTTCCTCGGTAGTTTTTCAAGTGGAGGTGAAGATGGTTATGTAAGACTGCATCATTTTGACCCTGATTACTTCAACATCAAGATTTAATTGCAGTTGGTGGAGAGGGCATTCGTTGGGTTGTATTAATGGCTTTACTTATTGTAGTTAAGAACCTTGCCTCCTTGACTTTTGCTGTGGTCGTGATTATTTTATCAAATTTCAATTTTGTGACTTGATAAGAGAAGAGAGGCAGACAGCCAAACAGTGATGATCGGAGTAATGATCAGAAAAGTTTTACGTGCTGTTACTGTGTCTAGTTTCAAAAATTCTCTTAAAGCTTAGAAAAGGTCTCATTTTTTTTTTTTTTTGGAATAGAAGTTTGAAAATGAGTTGATTTCCATTCACCTCATTCAGGTAATTAATGGACAAAAATGTTGTCCCTGAACTAAATCTTAAAAGCCCCAAACATTTCATCATTTCACCCTAATCCCAATGCCCAATTTCCATGTACGTCTCATTTTCGTATTTCCATAATCAACCTTATGGATATTATTACACCCATAAATTTTATAGTCTGTATCACAATGAATTCTTAGTCATTAAATACATGAAAATTGATATTTTATTTTCTTAAATAGTGGATGTCGACCAAGTTATTGACAATCTAATTGATCATGAGTGACTTGGATGATAATAAAGTTGGTTGATCATCAATTTAAATCAAGACTCACTTCTAATTCTATGAGTACATAAACATTTGTTGAGTGAATTTTCCCGGCTTAGTATTAATATTATTACTCTCACTTCTAATTCTACGAGTACATAAACATTTGCTGAGTGAATTTGCACGGCTTAGTATTGATATTATTACTATATAAATTGATGAAGTGAATTTGCAAGCTTAGTATTATTATTATCACTATAAAAGGAGCAAAATGTATTAGAATTATCTAGTTCGAAACTTACCAATGAAGAAAAAAAAGGAGCCAAATGTATTAGAATTAAAGAAATTGATATTTATCTAGTTCAAAACTTAAGATAATTTTAGTATTAGTGGAAAGTAAATGATTTTAAATACCAAATTTTATAAAAAATTGTCAAAAATGTTTTGGTCGTTCCAATATCTATTATAGCTCCTAAATCAATATTTAGTACATGTAGAAAGATTTTTAATTCTTTTATAAGTTCCAGAAGTTTTGAACTTATTATTTATTATTGTATGGTATTTTCCTTTATTTTCAAAGTAATAAATTGCTCGTGCTAGTATTTATTTGTCTTTTAGTTCTATGGCAAATTCGAACTTACTTAAGACACAATTCTTACATCGTGTTGTGATTTTATTGATCAAGATTTGTGTTTGTAAATTTTTAATATATTTTATATTAAATTGTATGGAATGAGATAAATAAGAGTTTTTTAAAAAATTAAAAAAAAAATTGAACAACTGACAACCCAACCTAACCTCCTAACGAAAAGTGAGGGTTGAGTTGAATTTGATTGTGAAACAATTTTGAGTAAGATTGGGTTACCAATCCAACGAACTCAGACTTTTAGATAAGTTAAGAAAATTTTCCCAACCTAGCCCGAACCATGTACACCTCTAATCTAACATGTCAACTCGGAGATATTTACCGGCTATCATATTATCTACACGATTCATCAATCATATATAGATATATTTTTTTTTTGATCAATTTGATTATTATTAACCATAGACCTTAAGAACATTTTTTAATAACGATAAATCCAAAATTTTACATTATCATTAACGGTTTAAATAATAATACGTATTTTTCTCAATTTGACAAACCAGTAATGAAACTAAAAAAAAGACTTTATATAAAAAAAAAAATTATTTAACACCCTACTATGAAATTTATAAATCACTTATAATACACTAATATTTTAATGATTTTAGAACAAGTGTTATTTGACTAAACCTAATATTATATCAAAATAATACTTATAATATTTAGTTACCAATTTAGTCTATCACATTATAAACATCTTTTTTTACCATATCTAATATATATTATAATTAACAAATATAGTGTTATTTAAATCTCTTACCATCTCTTATTTAAATCTTATTCAAATGTAATATTATAATATATACATTTAACATATTTAAATCTCATTTAGATTTTTTAACATTTCTTACTACATATATTTACTTATTTAATTTTCATCCAAATTTAATATATATGGTTTACTTTTAAACTTGAGTAAACATTACTATAGGCAACAATATATTAAAAATTATAAATAAACTATTATGAATATATCGCACTTTTACAAACCTATGAATGATAAGATAAGGAATCAATACAAGGGGAATAAGATTCGGATTACCTTGTTGATCGAATATCTCAAGGCAAGAACATTGTTTGAGATTCGAATCACTCCAGAAGCAAGATCGATCATGTCTAGCTTCAATGATTCTTGTTGATCAAATATCTCAAACACTTGTTTGAGATTCAAATCACTCCACAAGCAAGATTGATCATGTCGAGCTTGAATGATTCTACATGCAACCTAAACTACATAGAGTTACAAATAAACTTAGCCATTGGCTAAAGAAAGCACAAATGCTTCTTTTAATATATTTTCCAAGTCTGCCTTATAAATACAACATACATGGCTTTATTTAGCCTCAAAATGAAAGCATTCCAAAAGTTGTAACATTCATACTTAATGACCATAATTAGCCATTATGTAAATGTAACCTATAAAGTAAATAAAAAGTCTAAAATACAATAACTCTAAATTACTCTAAATTGTAACCCACCCAAAATTTATAACCATCAAACTTCATTCCTAATCAATGTGACATGAATTGCAACCTCTTTTGATAATTTTGACAACATTTTCTTCACATTTTGATTGAAGTATATTGTATGAATGATGTCTCTTGGTTCATATCATATGAATACCATTGAGAGTTTAATGTCGGTTTAATGTCCTCTTAGACACTAATTCAATTTTAATGTCCAAAAATTCATAAATTAAAAGAAATCTCAAATATGCAAACCTATAATTTACCATTATTAATATATATATATATATATATTTTATTAAAATCTCAGATTAAAATGTTCTACTAAAGAATACATATTGATTGGTATGAACCTAGATATGAGGCTAGGAAATCCCAAAGCAAAACCATCCATTGGTATGAGACCAAAGAAGCTCAAAGTAAAGTCATGAGAGCTTATGTTCAAAGAGGACAAGCCATGAGAACTTATGTTCAAAGAAACAATATCATATATTGTGGAAGATCGTGATTCCTAACCCTACTCGTATTTTAGAAAAATTCCATATTATAAGAATTAAAGTCATTTTTCTAAAATTCAATTGAAAAAAAAAAAAAACCCCTTTTGTTTTAGTCCCTAGATGTCAATGTCACTAAGCTGTTGTATAGTGTGAGAGTCACCATCGGTGGAAGTCAATGAAATTCGTATTCCTTTTTGTTCTTTGATTTCTCGATATGCCAATATTCATTGCACATTCAGCCAATTAATTTTATAAACACAATTATTATTATTATTTTTATAACTGAGATTTCGTTGAAATGCAAATTTAGTCTAAAAGTTATAACACCTAAGCTCGATATGTATAAGTTCTGTAACGATTCTATTTTTTTTTAATAAAATATGCATGATATGCCTAATATGTACAAAAATTAATTTAAAATATTTACTGGTAACGATGGTCAAGATTGTCATTGTAATAATCCGAAAATAATAAATAAATAAATAAATAAATTAAATAAATAAATAAAATAAAATAATTAAAAAAAAAAAAAGAAGAAAAAGAAAAAGACAGCAGCAGCTTGAAGCTACTGCCATGGAGAAAGGAAGAATGGACAGGTGGATTGAGGGAAAAGAAAGAAAAGAGAGGAAGATGGAGGTGTGGGATGAAGAAGGGTGGTTTTATTTTGTGTTAGTGTTTTGGATGGTGGTGGTGGTTGGCGTTGGCAAGGCCGACGAGGAAGCACCAAATATTATCGAAGAAACAGAGGAAGAGGGAAGTGGCGTTTGTTGTGACAACGTGCAAACATGAGGATGGGGAGACGATTGTGAAGGCTTTCTAGCCATATCACCGAACTAAGCTGATTTAAGCGGTTGTCGCAAAGGTAACGAAAAACCCATATCACCGAACCTTTAAATTTCGATATCTTGGTTCATATTGTATAATAAGTTATGAAATAGGACTTTTTAGAATCGTAATAAGGAGATCTATAAATTTGTAGAAGGAATCAGGATGAAATTCGAATCGTAGAAGGAGGATATGGCTTCGGGATATAGTAGGTATTAACAGAAAAGATGGAAAAATTTCAGAAAACGGAAGGAAGAAGAAGAAGCGCATGCACTACACGCAAGCGCGTGAGGGCCGCGACTGGGTGTGCGACTGGGCGTGCTCATGGCGCGTGGGACAGACACACCGAGGATGTGAGGGCGCGTGAGGGCGCGTGAAGCATCATTTCGGTTCCCGGTTTGTCCCGTTCGATTTGTTTTGACCTGTTCTACCTAGATTGACCTATACTTACCTTGAAAATGGTGAAATATAGGTCTAATTGGAAGGAATTGTGTTGAAATACCCTATTAAATGTACAATCAAGAGAGAAAGGGATTCGGAACCAGGTAAGTAGCATATCGACCTTTGAACTAGTTCTTAACTTGTTTTACAACATGTGAGTATGTTGTTTACCTGATTAAGAGCTTAGTATGTTATGATGAGCTTTGATGATATTGAGTGTTTATTGTATATTGTGACTGCTTGCCTGTGATGTAAGCATGATATAAATGATTGTCAGAATGTTCTATGTGTTGAACATGATACATGTTTTGAAAGCATGCAGTAACTGTGAGTAACTGTGAGTATGTTATGCATGTTAATGGAAATGTTATGACTCTAAGATATGCTTATTGGTTGTAGAGCTATGGCTTATTTATATGAGTATGATAGTCTACTAATTCCCGCAGAGTTCCTGGCCAACGCGCTGTGTGCTAAGTCAGGGAGTATGAGTACTCCTGACCGTTGGTATATGAGATAAACAGGCCGCCAGAGCAATTAGTAGACGGGCCGTATTTGACCGAAAGCGAGTCTTACATACGAGTCCGAAAATTCTAGATAAGCATATCGAAAGAGAGTCAGTAACCTAGCTGGAGGTAGCTGAGATACCTCATTAATGAACAGATGACCCTAGTAAGAGAACTAGGAGTCAATGATGAATAAAACTTAAAAACACCTAGAAAGATTAGTTATGAACTCTTGAATGATAAGCTAGCTACTTACTGAGTAATCTAATTACTCATCAAAATTATTATAACTTTTCTTTCCAGATTTAGATGATGCAGGCCAACCAAGAACGAGACCAGCGGGCTAGAAACTACTGGGAATCCATGTCTGGGTCTGTTTATGTAATTATGTTTTCGTTGTCAAGAATTTACTTTGGTCGTTTTAAGTTTTTAAAAGTACTGGTTTTAAATGTTTTACTCGATGTTTTTAGAAATATTTTGAGTTTTATGATTGGATATCAGAGTTCTCCGGGTACTTGCTATTCGATCCCCAGTCTACCAACAACCGAGCAGAGGTTTCCAGCCGATCAAGAATCTATCTTGATTTAGATATTTAGAAAGCTGAATGAATATGGATAGATGCACATGGCATTTCCCCGATTAAATAATATTTCATTCTGGTTATTGCCACCTTGTTATTATTGTCGATGGTAACTCCTGTTAATCGCGTTGACGATGAGCGGGTGTTACAGTCATGGATTTAAACGTTCACAAAATTAATTTACAAATAAAAGTAACATTGGTGCTAACAAAGAGGGTGGAGTTGAAATAGTAAGAGTTTAAAATAATGCAACTCTCTAATTGATCTAATCTAAGGACTATTACATCAAATACAAATGCGACTACCTTAGTTTCACTTCCATTGCCTCTACAAACATATTGTCATCCATACATGGGTGTCTTACCTTTACCTAGAAAAGAAGTAGCGCGTGACTTGAATATATAAAAATACTTAGTAAGTAGCCCCATTGTTGGTGTCGAGAAATGAAATCACATGTAATCTTGGAGAGACTTTCTTTCCATAAAATATCATGGTTTTTGTCTCTATTTTATAGTATAGGCAGGGTTGGACATGTAATACTTCTCTACACACAGCCCAAACACACACGCATGGACCCAGTAAGTCGGCTCGTATATGTACCCCCTGAGCCTATCTGCGAGCTAACGTACAATCATGCTACTACAAGCCATAGAGAGAAAGGAGCGCACATAATATCATGGTTTACATAGTATCGTAGGTTATGCATCCGTACTAATCATAATGGGAAAGTACCCCGATACACATGATGTACAAAATGAATTAGATTCCATAATTTCAAATCATGGTACATACATATGATGCAAATCATACCTCAATTTCTCTTCATGGCATAATGCTCCTATGAGATAAGCATACGTATATTGGACATATCTTTCATGGTTAACATACATGGCTTATCAATATCTCATAGACATAGTGTGAACATACTAATATAATATATGTGGCATGATATATGGAGGTTCATGCATCATATAATATTAATATCATAACATCGTTGATTTCACAGCATAACCATATCATACCATAAATTGTCACATAATAACATACATCAAACACTGTAACTTCATAAAATATGACACGTATGGGGCATAGGGTAAACCAAGCCTGTGGATGTCCAACAATAGAACCACTTACTTGGTTGGCCTAAGCCAGAGTCATTACACTTTTTTAATGCTAGCTCGAATTTGCTCCTTGATGTTCTATTCCACCTAAGGATTCCCACAACATCGTTTTATAACATGTTAACTAATTTAATTCACCTAAGGACATCAATTGACCCAAACTTTTGACTCGAAGTACTTTAAATTGGCTAAACGTAGCCTTAGTGACTTAAAATACCCTCGAAAGTGTCAAAAGTGGCTCCATAAGGGCCAAAAATGCATTGCATTGCACTCGAATGTTCTTGCATTATAATCTCGATAGGGGGTCGCTTACTGAGTATTTTTAAATACTAAAGCCTCATGCTACTATATTTTTAGATAAAGGCAATGCGACCTTGTAAGGCTGACAGAGGCATCGCAATCCGAGATTGTAATACATGAATAGGATAGATTAGCATTTCGTTTATTAGTATAGGTTAGTATAGGTTGAATTGTATTTTCACTTAATATTACAGGTTAGTTTAAATTGAACTTTCATTTCTATTAGTAGTGTAGGTTATGATAAGGGTTCAAGAAAATTAATTCCGCATTAAATGTTTAGGTTATATGTATGGTACCGACCATAGGTTAAGGAAATTTAGGGTCATTGCATAACATCATCTCATTAGAACATTATCTTCGTAAAGTTAGCTACCGACCCTATCTTCGTAAAGTTAGCTAACGACTCTTGACACAAAACCATAAAGTCATACTAAATCTGAATGAGCAACCCCGTGGGTCGATCGACTACTAAATTTAGTGGTGTGGTTTATCCCCCCAATCTTCAACAGATTTACGATGGCACGACCATGTTCAGGAAGCATGGGTTCATTGCCACACACGCTGGGGGCATTAATCTTGTTAACTACCCATGTAGTCCCTTGTCCCCTCCCAGAACTGATTTATGGAATCACGATCTCGGCCTTTGTCTTGTTTCAACATCATGAGCTAAGTTACTTATGTAGTCCCTTGTCCCCTTTCAAGGCAAGTTTACAAAATTGCGACGTAGGCTCACGACTCCTCTCTACACAAAATAGTAACTCCCCAAATAGCCACGGCGAGTCATCCAATTTGACCTAGGCCAAGCTTGATGTTAAGGTTTCTTGGTTCCTACTACTTGGCAAGGACACTACTGATAAGGATCACGGTGTTTCAATTGGACCTATTACACAATCCAAGGCCAAGAAGTTTCAACAAGCATTCATTTTTTATCTACAAAATTGGATAGGCTCAGTTCGACCATCATTTCATGTGTTACAAGCTAATTCGATTGAGGAAATACCATTTGAAACTTCAGACGTGAATATTTGCACAGTTGAAGTAGCGGATGAAGTTGCAAGCATCATTTCATGAGTTGCTACAAAACTTTATTTATTTTTAATTTCATAAAGTTTGTAATGGTCAAATGGTCAAATTGATTTCGTCTTTTATGGAGATTTAAGAGGATCGGGATTAAATCCCGGCCACTACCTTCTTTTGTGGGGAGACTATAAATACCCACAAATTAAGCATCATCTTTGCCGTTTCTAAGTTCCAAGCAATTCTTGTTGTAGATTGCATCTAAGTCATTCAATCAAGCCTTGTTCAAGTTCAATTGTGGAGTGACTTAATTTAGAATAAGGTTTTGAATCTTTCTCTTTGATCGTGAGAGGTAATCTAATTCTAGTTTTTCTCTTAGTTGATCCAAGTTTTGTATAGAGAGGGGTTAATTCCTTTAATTTAAATCTTGCTTCTCTTTGATCGATCGTAAAAGGTAATCTAATTCTAGTCTTTTCTCTTAGTTGATCCAAATTTTATATAGGGAGGTGTTAATTTCTCTGATTTAATGATTCTTGCTTTAACAAAAGCTTGGATCATTGTGCTTGACTTATTCTAATCTATTGCTATGAGAGCAATGGATAAGCCAATTTAGTAGGAGAGCAATTGATAAAAAAACCTTAATTCTCAGCCAATTTGGTATCAATTGGTTGAAGATACCAAATTGGCTTAATTGACTAAGGATTAGAGTTGTCTTATCAATTACTCTAATGTCAACCATTGCAACTGATAAGGAAACACTATTCCTGTAATGATCCAAATTTTTTTACTTAATTTTAGGTCACTTATTGTATACGTAACATAACATTGAATGCGGAAGACTTCATTTAAATTCCATAAAACATAATCTTTATCTTAAAACACAGCCATGGACTTACTTGTTTCAAAAACATCTTTAAAACGACACAACAAAAGACTAAATAAAATGAATAAGAGTTTAAGTTAAAAACATCCTATTCTAGCCTAAGTCTAAGAAAATAAATACCACTATCTACGCATGTGCAATGGTCTCGAATTGCGATGTCGTCGTCAGCCGTACAGGAATGCCTTGCCTTAACTTGGAAAATGTAGTAGCACATGACTTGAGTATTTAAAGAAATATTCGGTAAGTGACCCCACTGTTGGGGTTAAATGCAACAATCACATGCAACGAGATGATAGGACCTATCTTTCATTCCATTTCCCCTACGGTGCTGTCCTAACGGGTAATTTTGGACGTGTATCATATACTCTACACACAGCCCATAAGTGCGAGTATGGGCTCACCAGCTAGTTCGCACACCACTAGGCCACTTTTCTTATCCGGTGGGCATACTCTGGGAGCCCCTTAGGCCGGACACCCACTAGAACTAGTAACTGTCACGGCAGCGCTATGCAAAGCATAACGATCATTGTCCTGCGATTGGATGTACGCGTCCGTACCCTCGTGATGGGATAGGGGCATCCCCAAAATGCATGAGCAGACATAATGCATGAGGTCCCAAAACTTTTCCATTTTCATTATCCTTTAATACAACCCCGCTAGCATTATGTACATATCATATCATTTTTCATATCGTTTCAGATATCGTTCATCAT